TATCCTTCTTGTCTCATTAAAACCGATAATTTTTGCGTTAGAGGCGCCAAAACTTGCTTAACCAGCGTAGGTTATCTAAAAAATGCTGAGTGCGGAAACGAGTCCGGTTACTTAAACACTGTCCTAAAGCCGAGACAGGAAGGGAATGACTGGTACCTTCGTCTCCTCAACATGGGCTTGCCAGGCTGTCTCAATAGACCGGTCGGATCTCCCAGTCGCAGAGTAGGTCTCTGATTCCAGGAAGGAGTTCTCCATCTTAACCTGTATCGCCGCAATCCAGGCTGAGAGGTTTGACTGAAGCTGTGCGATATGGCTAAGCTGGGAATTAACGGATTCAAATTCTTGAATTTTCTAAAAGTAAAAGTGGCAGCAGTTATGTGGTGAGTCTCGTAACTGAAGAAGAGATGGAGGAATTAGTCAGTAAGCATTTTTGACAAAACACAATACTGGGTTGGCGTTTCAGGCTTATCTTTTATCCTCAGCCAGTCGTATACCATTCATATCAGATTTTGGGTTGAGCAGGTTTTAGTCCTGTCTCCAGAGTGCATTAGTTCACACCGCTCCTTGGTACTTCAAAATATTTTTATTGAATGAAGTGGAACCGGCAAAGAGAAGGCAGACTGGAATGGCCATTTCTGGCTTTTTAGCCGTTACCAGTCAGTCACAATCAATCCCGGGGGTGAAGAGCCCGGGATTCAAACGTGCAACACCATAATTGCACCATGAGCCCGTTGTTTTTGTCCCTTGCGATCGGGAATATGATGAATAGTTGGACGCCCACTGTTAGAAGTGCCGAACACTCGCGCCGTCCTCGAGGTAGGATAACAAAGAGGGAACACGCGAGACCGCCGCTGACCAGGTTCTGAGGTCACGCCTGACCAGGGCAACGAAAAGACGCATGCACGTGCTTGCGTCACTGAGGGCGCGACCGATCACCCGAGGACACGCTGGCTGGAGGCATGACGGCTGCGTGTAAAAGCCACTCGTGGAGAGCCAATAGGGAACAATGACTAATGGCCCTTAAATATGCTGCCACCGCTGAAGGCGGCCACTCTGTTGCTGGAGA